GTTTGGAGGGGGAGGATATCCATCTTCACCCCATGCCACGGGAAGACACACCAGTGAAAAGCGCATTGAAGAGCAACAAGGAAAATGTATTGTACATCTTATTCAGAGATCTAAACATGTCTATTTCTGTTGGAAGTGACAATTGGCTTCCTAATACGTTGTACAAGGAAGCTTTGAAATGTGAGATTAAGAAATGCGAACAGAATTGCAAGAGAATGGAATTATTAGCAGGAGAAGAGCCTGGTTCCCTTCTTCAAGAATTCAATAATGCTCTAAATGGTATAAAATACGACATTAGCAGAGATATGATGTTATGCATATCTGGCTATGGTCTAGTATTACTTCTAAATAAATTCCGTGAACATACTGATTTCAACCGAGTAATTGATGACGTAAGTGGCTTTACTATGTTACATGTCTCAGCACTCTACGGCAAGTTAGCTATGGTGCAGTACCTGCTCTTCAATGGAGCATATATTGAAGCTCAGTCAAAGGATGGGTTCACAGCTGCACACGTGGCAGCTATGAAAGGCCAAAGGGAATGTGTGGCTTATCTGCATGCTTATCAGTCGCGTGGTCACACTGGAGCAACTCAGGACACATCAATTATGCCCATAAGTGCTGAGCAGCTTGCTGAAGGATACGAAGCACTTGTGAAGAACTTCACGCTATTACTCCTGCCTGAGGAATATGGCCTTGATGTCCTTAGTGAGCCACAAGAGGGAAATAAAGTAAAGTTACTTCTCCAGAAAAAAATGGAACAATTAAACATCTCAGATAATAATAGTTTCAAATCATACATTGCTGATTGGAGAGCAAAGAAGTGGGATGAAAATGTAATTGATTTTTATGAAGAAGTTAAAGAAACTCTTTCTACCTATAAATTTAAATGTTCGACTGTTTGGCGATCGTATCCTTGTATAGCCTTGGAGAAACTTTGAAAACTTTGAGTATTAACTTGGTTTGGTATGCTAAAGGAATAACATGGCAAGTGAAGGTACTAATTGTCCCTGTTCTTAAGAACGAATATCCAGAGGATACTGATGCTCTTCCGCCATTAGTGACTGACTGTTTACAAAAGGAAGCTTCTGTTTATATCACCAAAACAAAGGAAAAGGGGAAATGGACATATGTGATGACACAACTAGAAGACATGATCTCTTCTAGGTTAGCAGAAGAAAAACAGTTTGTACTATCTGCATGCAAATTCCTGAACAATGTCCTTGAACCTTGGTGGTTTCCCCGGCTGCAAAGTAAAAGGCATGGTAGAGTTTGGCACTCATATGCCATCAGCATTGGAGATGTTCCAGATCAGAGGCAAATCCTGACACTATTTCTTAAAGAGGTCACACAGACTGAAGAGAAGGACTGGGTACCTTCAAAGTTCCTTGAACGTGTTATCAGCATTTACAGCAGATCAAAGTGTAATGGCGATTCAAACGGTCCTCACACAGTGAAAAGCATTAGAATTTTCCTTGATCCGAAGCATGGTTGTTTTAAACCTTCTAGTCATATATCAGCCATTGTTGATGTCCTGGGCTCATTACAAATGGAAGTATATTAACCTACAAGAATAATCATTTTATCGTTTTGTCTTGAAACACTAGCAGTCGTTACTGATTCAGATAATTATCTTAAAAGACAAAGAGGAAGACATGCACAAATGGTGTAGAATAGAATGAAGCACCCCCAGAAAGTATAAAGCTCAGATTGGAGCAATGAAAAATGATTAAGTCAAATTGAAGAGTATGGAGGTCAAACAAGTTGAACTTCATCATTTAACAGTTGCTAATCAAGGACGACTAATGACAATGGATAAATTCACTATGCAGCTTTGATGGCTAAATCTAGAGTACCCCGTGAAGGCAGTAACTATTCCAAGGTTATAGTTTGTAGTAGCCATAGGTCCATATTTTTATGGAGAATTGTATATGTAATACCAAATCTGCATGAATACTTTGTAGGGGAAGATGATCCAGTAGTAAAGAAGCTTGTCTTGTCTCAGAGATTTTTTCATTCGATTTTTGTTTTGTAGCTATATATATAATTCTGTTTTATTTCATTTTTACAATGTGACACAAGCCTACGAGAGCAATTCCATTGTGTGTAAAATGAGAATAGAATTAAAGACCACGGATGAATCTACGTATATTTCAATGAGTATTGAAGAAATTTAAAACGGCAAAATTGAAATAATCAAACTTCAAACAAAAATATTTCCTGAAGATATAAAAGTGCTCATTCAAAAAGAAAATGTAAATGGTCCATATAGTAAAAGGAAACGTTTATATCTATGGTTGCTGGCAAGAGAATTATAAGAGCAGGTGGAAGAAATGTGAATTGGGGAAAAAAAAAGCCAGTATACCTTAGAAGCATGGTTCTACCATAGAAAGATTCGTCTCTTGGTAGCAACCGCATTCCAAAGTGAACTGTATGCAGAAACGTGTGTTATGTATAGGAGCAGAAAACGACTGATCTTTAGAAACTTATGATCTACTCATTCTTCCGTAGAATTCTTTGTACATTATATAGTAGGTAAGATCGCAAAGATTTCAGAAGATGGTATACTGTTTACTTATACGTCAAGAATTTCTCTAGATTCTGCTAATACCCTGAAAATTGGTCCATAGGATGCTTGTCGTTGCTTTGAAGGATCAAGAGACCCAGTCTGTCAGACGGCTCTCGGTGAAAAAATTAACGAATTGCTTGTTTGAAGGACATGGATTAAATTGAGAGAAGAATCGTACTAATGAAAGACCACTGTGATTAGCCAGAATATATCGTTCCTTATGCTCTTTTAGATAAGCAGAGTTTTGGAACGTCGAAGCCACACTGTCAAGAATGTACTTTCAGTGTTATTAGTTAAGCATAGTTCTCAGTTAGATGATGCCTCTAAAGACTTTTATAACAAGCAGAATGTATTGCAAATGACCTTCCTTGAACGGTTGACATAATGAACTCTTCTGGATATCTGGTGCCACGAACGCCAAATGTAGTTCTTACTCTGAAGTCCAGAATTTTGAAGCTTTCTATAGAAAATTATGAAAGGGCCGAAATGTTTTCTAGAAAACAATGGAGAAGGATTCAATATTTAGCTCATGAGCTGTGTTCCAGACTGAAAAGAGAGTATTTACAAGTACCACAGGTAAGAAATACATGGATAAAACAACACAGAAATATGTAGTTAATCAGTAATTTACATAAATTAATCATAAATAGATAAACATGTAAGAAAAACAAAGATGCTAATGTCAGCTTCAGATTTAGATAATCAGGGAAAATATGTTCATGCAGTGTCATGTAGAGAAACTTGTTCACAGATTGAGTTTGTTAGAGACCAGAGTATCCACAAAAGAACCAAAAAAGAGCAACGAAGGTGCTAAGATATTGAATGTAATTTCGTGGTTTCGTATTTTTGTACTCGCTGTATAGGATTTACATTAGTGGTAAGATGATTCAGTGTGATATAAATATTTCTCATAGCTTAGAAGAACCATGTAAGTGATATTCATTTAATTTACATTCCAGTTTATTTTTGTTTCGTGCTCATAATTAAATGTAAACTTGTTAGTCATATCGTAATTTGCCATTGTTTAGAGTTGAAATGAAATGTAGATCAGATGTAAATATCCTTGTAAGTTAATTTAATAGATTAAGAGAATGTATTTTGCTTCAATATAATTTCACCAAGATTGGGAGTATGACCCTCTGTTGGAGAACCGCTGTTCTGGAGCGTAAATAACATTATTGTTTTGGTATTCAAATTGCATATCAATCATGTACATTATTTTGTAGTCACGATTTTGTTCATGCTCATCATCATTCTTCATGATGGCCAACAATTGTCGTGCCATCGTTCCATAAGGAATCATGAAAGAAATTTATTAAATGAATAAAGGAAACAAACTGAAACATGGTTTAAATAGCATAAAAAATTACCAAAGTCAGAAATGTTCGACTGTCACATCGGTCATCATACGATTGTTAGAAAGTAACATACATAAATTTAGATTAGAGGTTCCCAAACTTTTAAACTTGTCTCCCAGTGGAATCTAAAAAAATATATCAACCTCCTAGCTTTTAATTCAAAAGAAAATAACTATGTCGGCCCCACTTCATGATTAGGATATGCACCCAACAGGTTGCTATAATCTTTTCCACTGCTTATTTCGCACTTCTCTCAACCACAACACACACAGAGGAAAGGGCCGCCCGGATCTCGTCTTCAATTGTGGTAGACTGCATTTGCCATTTGCCTGTCGCGCACACTAACAACCCGGGCCAAGCATTAGTTACGGCCACATATCCATCAACATAAAATTTCTGCTTCATCTATAATCAACACGAATCGCCATTCCAGTTACAAATAACAAACTAAGGCGCCTTCACCTAGATCTTCGCTGATCAAAGTCTTCAGATCAATCTTAATGAATGAAACACAAACAGTAGGTGGGCGTCGGACTACATCCTCGCCTCCATCGTATCAGCTACACTGAGTGCCATCCCAAGTCTCCTCTGATTACATGTCTTCTATGATCTTGATAACGCTGCTAAGTTAATTCAAATAACTTGATTAAGAGTTAAGTTAAATAGAGTTAGCAATTCAGAGTTGTAACTTTGCTTCTTTCTCCCACCTCAGTGATATCACCAAAAGTTTCATAGCCCGTGGATGTAAAAAAAAAAAAAAAAAAAAAAAAAAAAAAAAAAAAACAGGGCTAAGGTTTTCTGTCTTCATATTCCAACCCACTATTCACTTTAAAATTTTGATTCATTAATAACTGACAGCCTCATGCACGCTCTGACAGATCTCAACAAAACATTTCTTTCGCTAATTCCGTCTGACAAATTTCCATGTTGATCTTGTGCTATTAATAAATTAGATAGGATGAGTGAATGTGAACATAAGCTAATATTTTAGAACATTCGTATATACAAATTACATCATCATATTTCTTTAAAATAACGTAATATGTATGAAAATGTTCGTGTGATTCCCGGGA